GCCTTCATGTTGTTTCCACCAAATTCTCACTCTGCCATCTGCATGATGCAACTGGAAACGTGATTCATCGAACCACATGACTTTTTTCCAATGCTCAACTGTCCAATCCTTGTGTTCCTGTGTGAATTGGAGAAGTTATATCTTGGTAACTGCAGACAGCAAAGGTGTTCGAACAGGCCTTCGGCTTCCATATCCCATACGATGCAGTGTATGGCTAATTTGCCTATAAACGTCAGGGGTCATAATAATCTGGCCACTCAGTGTAGATATTCCACTTAGTTATTTTTCAGAACTGCCTGATTATCCCTGGTAGTTTTCTGTTGCTTGCTCATTCTTTTGATTCCATAATTTGTTTCTTTAAGTAGTTCATAAGCAGCTATTGTATTTCCGACAGTTCTAATATAGATGGCTTACCTCCTCATGTGCTTGATGTCTTTAATTTTGAACTAATACTTGCCTAAGGATAAATGGTGGGACTCTGATGGGATATATCGTAGGATGCTTTCTTATAGAGATTTGATTTGTTCTGAGAGGAGCTGGGGAGACTACCAATCTGACTTAATACAGCATCTCAGGTTCAATTCCCCTTCCTTGCTGTTAACCCTAGCTTCAGTTTTTTACTAGCATTGTCTCTTAGTATAACACTAGAGACCCAGTGCATGAAATTCGTGTACTCGGCGGGGGAGAGGGGGTCCGCAGGGTTTCTCAGCCTGGCCTGTGTCCTCTCGCAGTCTGTCAGTCGGACACCCTTAGCGCTGCTGCGGAGGCAGAAGAGGCTCCTGCCACCGCTGCTGCACTTGCCAGCCATAAACCCAGCTTCTGGCTGAACGGCACTCCCCCTGTGGGAGCACACTGACCACCAGGGGGCAGCTCCTGTGTTGAGTGGGATTGGGCTGAAACCGGCTCTTCGACATCCCCCAAAGGGTCCCGGATTGCGAGAGGGACTAGAAGGTAACTAGAAACCATGTTTTATATCCAATTCAGTAGTCTTTTCAATCTATTTTTAGACCTGATTTTAAGACATATTATATTAAATTGAACCTGTAATTGTTTGTATTATAACAAGGTCTGTAGTTTTATTTTATGTCTCTTCATACCAGAGTGTGTGTATTCCATATATAATTACATATATACAAAAATAAATCCAAGCCTATATAAAACTATTATAAATACAATTGAATATATAGACAGGCATGACTATAAGGAAGATAGCTTGTGATCACTAAAGGGAACTACAGAATCCTAAGTTTGTCTTTATCTAATAAGTATGGCTTTTAAAATCAAAATAATTGTACACATAGGACATTTGTTTTTACTTATGCACAAAAGCAAGTAATTTCTGGTAAAAAAATTATAATGACCTGGATTAGCTTTTAAATCTCTTCATTGAGTAAACTCATAGGTTAAAATGATAAATTATAAGAATACTCCAATGAAGAGAAAATGTGGGATTCCTTGTGGGCAGTGCTCTTCAATAGTCTTCAGGAGATCTGTCAACATAAACAGTCACTAGCTAGTGCAAAATTAATACCATCATTCAGGGAGAGCAAGGGGAGAACTAGACACAGTCAGTAGAGAAGTCATTTTGTGTTAGGGGAGCCTGCTCTCAGAGAACCTGGGAGAACCTGCTGACACACCAGCATTCCAAGGAAGTTATGAATAGCTGCTAGAAGCAATTATAGCATTTCGTACATTCAGTCTGATATTCTATTGCATTAGTTTTGTTCAGGAGAAGTATTTTTAAAGTGAAAATAATTGGGTTAATGTCCTAAACTTCATTTTTAGATATTTTGAACGTCAGGATGGAGAGAGATGTTTCTTAACGTTCTTTTTACATGTCATGGCCATATAAACCATTATATACCCCTTTCTAAAAGTTTTCATAGATTTGTTTTCCTTAGGGGCATTTTAGTGTCTTTAATTTTTATTTCCATGTTAGCACTCCAAGGGAAGATGATGTACTTACAAGTTTGGTTTTTTTTCTCCTTGGCTTTCTCTCCCATTCAGGTTTTGATACTCTACCTCCATTCCCCAACCTCCAACCCCCCAAAACCTGTGGCATATAGCTCTATTTGTCAGATAGTTTATTTGAGGGGATTGCAAACTCTTTAAAAATCTGTTCTGCTACAATTGTTCACAGCATGGTCCACATCTGCGACTACTCTTGAAAAACACCAACAGATGAAGATATTTATGAATTTTATGGGTGAGGATAAAGGTGTGGAGCTTGGAGTGGCAGAGCCTGTATCACCTCTAAAATAGTAAGAGACACTCAGTCCATTGAGAGGGAAGGGAACACGGAAGGAGGAAGGTGGTTTCAACAAGCCCAGTGTGTAACTAGCATTCTCAGAGTCAGCCTGTAACTGTCAGTTCATGATTATTCGTTCATTGGACCTTTGTTTCTTTTCAACTTCTGTCTTTTCTATAATAACACGGAACGTTATAGTGCCCGGATTTCAATTATTTATATCACACATACTTTCAAATCTGCTATAAAGTTTAAGAATGAAATCACTGGTATCCTTCATTGCCCTGAAATTTCCCACAAAGCCATCCCCTCTGGGGCTGGTCTCTGTGTCTGGGTGTGAATGGGTCCCCATCACATTACCTGCCCCTAGAGGGCTGTAAAATGAGATACTATCAACTTAAACATCCTTTGCACTCTAAGTTGTCTTATATTATTATTTTTATTTTTCAGTGGTAATAATAGTTTCACTTGATAAGGAAATCAGCCAATTCTGAATGACTTAGTGGGAGAAGTTGGTGTCTAAGAGCACAATAGATTGTTTCTAATTGTGTGAAGAGATGTCCTAATTAAGTCTCCTGATTCCGAGTCAGAAGTTAGGGCCGTGAAAGAGGCTCGTGACACCCGGAGCCCAGCGAGGAGCAGCAGGGGACAGCTGGCATGGTCTCAGGAGAGCCAGTTTACTCATTATCTCAGTGTTTGTGAGAGTGAACACCTTCCAAGTGAAAATTAATTTCCCTTTTGGATTACTTATGGCATTATTTTTAATGCTGAAGTTTTCCACCTCATCCTTGGCCACAATTATTTTTCCCAGAATGACTGAGATGGAAAAAAAGTACATGGTTATTTCTAACAGCACATAAAATGAGATTTTGAGAGAGTTCATTCTCTGTGATTTCCTTGTAGACATTCTTAATAATGATCTTTCTTTAAAGGTAAACTAAGTACATAACAGTGTTTAGTGATATGTATTAAAATGAAAGTTAAGTGTTTTATTGGGAGAAGGGGCTGAAGCTGTCCTCAAAACATCCATGGAATAAAAAATTCTGTCTAAAAAATTCTATGTCTGTCTAAAAAAATGCCACACAAAACCCGAAGCTTGCTAATCAAGGATAAGATCATTCTGGACTTGCCTGAAGTCCTGCTCATCTATGTTACATCTGTCACCCAAACCTGGCCTGTTAGTGAATGGCAGGGACAAAAGGCCTTTCTTAACCTATCCAGCTGCTCCCACTGCTGCCAGGGCATCTCTGGGCTATGTCTAGTGTCCAGGAGGCAAGCCAGAGGAGCGTGAAATCAGCCACAGTTTCCGCTTCCCCCTCTTCCCACTCCCAGACCCCACCCAGGCCTGGCATTCCGAGGGGCTGGAGGAGCTTCTGAGGCCTGTCCAGGTCCCTCCGCCAGCTCTGCACATGGGCAGCCCCTGGACAGGAGCACGTCCCAAGCTGCCAAACATTTGGTGTCACTTCCTCACCCTGAACTTTTAGCTGACTATCCAAGCAGGAAGCATTTGGGGGGAGTTTTTCTGTCACTTCCTTAGGAGGGCTTACTGGATGGGTTTTTCATGTCCTTACTAAGAGCTGTATTTACGGTAAGTTCCATAAGTTATGAAATAACTTTGGTAGATAAAATGCACTATAAACATGATAGTAAAGGGTGAAAAAAATCTCATATTTCAACTTTAGTACTATGAATGTTGTGTATGAATGCATTGTTCCTTAAAAAGGGTTCTGAGGAAAGAGATCCATCTTAAAAATAAGGCAGCCTGGCTTTGGCCAGGTGGCTCCATTGTTGGAGCATTGTCCTGTACATCAAAAACGTTGTGGGTTTGATTGCCCTTCAAGGCACATACCTAGGTTACAGGTTCGATCCCCAGTCAGAGTGCATATAGGAGGCAACCAATTGATCTCTCTCTCTCTCTCTCTCTCTCTCATTAATAAAAACATATCCTCAGGTGAGGACTTTAAAAAAAAAAATGACCAACTGAAGCCAGAGTATATCGAGGGAAGTTGTGGGGATCTAGGAAGTGGCAGTGAAATCCTTGTTTAGGTACAGTGGGATCACATTTTTTTTACTTCTCTGTGTATGTTTTAAATTAGATGAGAAAGTGCAACTTAGGCAAGTAAATAGATTTTTATTCTCTGCAAATAAGGTCCTTCCTCCCTTTTAAATTGAGAACCAGCAGGCAAAGAACATTGTCACTGGAAACATCCTCAGCTACTTCAGATAGACAAGCCTGGAAGGCTCTATATTTAAGTTGGGATCTACTTAAGCTCAGGGAAATAGTGAGTTTGGGTTACAGTGACTGAGAATAATTAAATGTTAGTGAGGCATTTAACTGTACCTTGCTATATGTATTTCTTTAGCCCTAGCTCTACATGTGACTTTCTTTAGTGTTTAGAATATAGAGTGTAGGTTTATTTTATTATGTGAATTTTAATTAAACAGAATGTTCTTATTGGCAATTTAGTAGGGGCATGAGGAAAGCTTTTGTTTTTTCCTGATACAAGAAAATGATTAGACTGATGTCATCCCTTCCATTTCTTCTTCCCACCTTGAACATGGAATTGCAGAGTTGTAATATTGTTGACATTCACTCTTTGCACCTAATGTTTCATTCACAAAGGTACAAAACAAAAGCCCCATGTAGTGGCTGCTATGGCTAGTACCAGGGAAAGTGCTGTTCTCTCAGGGAGAAAAAAACACACAAAACTTCTCCCTCCCAGAGGCGGGCATAGTCCAGAGAGGTAAAAGGCCTGTGCATAGCAGAGGAGCACCAACTTTTTTACCTGGCGGGAGATATATAATTGGGAGAGGATCTGGTGTCTGGAGGGTGCGTATACTGAGCACACACTGAAACAGGGAATAAGGAGGAGGAAAGGGTACTAACCCTCTGCTGACAGTGGTGACAGCAAATCTTACACTGTCATCAAAGATCTTTTAGATGAGTGTGGCTGGTCAGTCATTTACGACTGACAACTGGGTACATTTCTAAGGAAGCAGGTCCAGGTTGAAGGATACAGCATCTGCTGTCCTCCAGCACAACCAGAGCAGCAGGCCCAGGGGTCTCCCACCTGGAGGGTGTGATAGATTGCACTGGGAATGAGGCTTTTAGCACAATCTGCATGCAAAGAGATATGGTGCCTCCAGTCTATCTCCAGGAACACTGGAAAAGCCTGAATGGAAATAACCTGCACCCAGGAGGCAATTGCTTTGCTTAACGAGGGTTTGATTCCTACAGTCACTCTCTGATGTACAAAGCCAAGTGTAGAACCTTACAGTCACTTAAAAATACTGGGGTGGTGCACCTAAGATAAGTAGAGATAGTTTCAGCAGATAGTCTTTCAGTTAGGGGGGAAAGAGAAAGGAACTATCGATCCTCAGTACTCATTTAACACAATGTTTTAATCAAGAGTAGGACGATAAAAAAGCTTAAGAACTTCCTTTCAAGTTTAGTTCTGGAGACTATTTTTGCTAAAAAGCTTGTCTCATGAAAGATTTTATCACTTCTTGATGTTTTATAGTGTTTCTAAGTTGTTATTCAGACAAAAGAAATACAGAATTGTGTTAACCAATAAAACAGGGATTTTTTCTTTTACTTTTTTATAGACTAAATGAATATTTTAAGAGATTGGCTACTATTGTTTCCCCTTTTGCTGAAAATATTGTATATCTTTGCACCTAGGGGGAAGGGAGTACCCATAAAAATGAGGAACTTTAGAGGTTGCAATAATTAATGTGGTGACCACAGTGGTTACAAATTTGATTGGCTAATCCTATCTAATAAAAGAGAAACATGGTAATTGGCGTATAACCGCTACCCTTCCCATTGGCTAATCAGCGAGATATGCAAATTAACTTCCAGCCAAGATGGTGGCCAGGAGCCAGGCAGCTTGAAACTAACATGAGGCTTGCTTGCTTCAGTGACCGAGGACTCCAACGTTCCCCGCCTGCCTTGCTGGCCTCTGAGCTTGCATTTTAAGAAACATTGTAACAAATATAGAAGCTAAACAAACCCCAGAAAGCTGGTTTCAGCGAGCCCGGGATCTCAGAGCTGGAGTTGATACAGAGTTTCGATTATAGAACGCAAACAAACCAGATACCTTCTTTCAGCAGCAGAGGCCTCAGAGCTGGAGCCAGAGCTAAAGCTGGCCCAGAATAAAAAAAAGAAAAAAAAGAAAAATGAAGCCGTTGGGAGCTTTAGTCAGCCTGAAAACAGCCCTCAGCCCCTCA